ATAAAGTAAACGTGCTAGTCCTCTTGCTTTTAGAATTTTGTTGTATCAATTTTTATTTTCTATTAAAATTGAGATCTACGGGAAAGAGTTTCTCAGAAATTTTATATCTTTTATTTTTACCTTTTTTAATTCGAATTGTTTTTTAATCTTTTCAGAAATGGTTTGATAACAGGTGATTTTGTAACGTGAGTCAAGAGCAGAAACAAATTTAACGAAGCAATTCTCTTCCAAAAGAGAAAAAGGCTGTTGACTAATTATAAGAAATTCTAATAAACTACAGTCTAATGATTCTATACAATGTTTGTCAACAATTGAATATGGAGAAGAGCGAACAGATTTTGCAGATTTTCGAAATTCTCTAAAAGTACTTTGGTGATATCCTTTGAAATGACATGATAATGACATGCCCGGACCCTATATATCTACAGGGCCTTTATCCTTATCACAAACTTTGCAAGTTCAAATGCTATTTTCAAGATCAAGATACTGGTAAAAGGTGCAGAGGTTTTTTTTTGCTTATTTTTTTTGTTAGTGACTGAATTCTGATTACTAATACTCTTAGAAGAGTTTTGAGCATTATTAAAAAAGATTCGATTGTTTTGGTAAACATTGTTAATAGATTAGGTCAATATCGAAATTGGGAAACAGGATAGTTATTTTTTTTTTGATTGATGGGTTAAGTCAATATTAAAAAGTAGATGACAAAAAATAGACGATTTTTATATTTGAATTTTTATTTATTTTATTTTTTAAACATGTTAATACATCTTATAGAAATAAATAAAACTATTAATTGCTTTACAATTATTTGCATAAACTTTTTTGTAATACAAATGACTAAGTTGATGATTTTTTATTACACTAAATTTTTAATATAATAATAATCATTGTTTTGCGATGTAAAAGAAAACTACACAAACCTGAATAATATAACGATAATATATTTTAAGGTTTTAATGAAAAAAAGCCTGATTATTCATATAAAGAATTTGGCAAAATGCACTTGTATTAAATTAAGAGAAAGGGTTTTCACTGCAATACATCTAATACCGTAGCGCACTGACCAAAGTACCTGGGGTCCAATACAATCTAACCAAAAAAAACTTATAAAGTACCCGTGGGTATCTTGATCGATGACGGGTATCTTGTATGGGGGGTACTTTGTACGGTCTTATATATGTAATGCAGAAATCAATATGTGTTAACGTGAAAAGTGCCATGCAAAATACCCGGGTATTAATCCTTGGTTAAAAAAAAAATGCTATACAAAGTACCCGGGTATTTTGAGTGGGGTACGCAAAAAGGGGGTACTTTGGTCAGTGCACTACGGTACCCTCTTTTACCTTATATATTGATTTTGAATTTTACTAAAACGCACCTATGGTGTTTTACACCTATGTATACATTATCTCAAAAACTGGCTAATTAATTGGAGTAAGGTGTTCTAAGTAAAATGCTCTACGACCCCAAAAACCCTTCCCAAACCCTAATACTAACCTTAATATTAACTTAAACGTAAAAAAATTGGTGTTAAAAATTCTATATACAATACTTATAAAAACTTAGAAAATTTTAAAAAACATAATAAAAACATAATAAAAACATATAATAGGTGCAAAACCACCATAGGTGCGTTTTATAATAATTGAAATTTTATATACAAAACTTATAAAAACTTGGAAAATTTTAAAAAACATAATAAAAACATAGGTGCGTTTTATAATAATTGATATATGATATTCTTCGCCCAAAAAATAAATAGTTAATCAATATAGATCTCGATCCCTTTGCTTGGTTTAAGATCTTAATTGCTCTTATAATTATTAAGCTCTGAAACAATTCCTTTCATATCAATAGGTTTGGATGTATACTTAATATTTTCATGTTTTTGCATAATAATTGCCATTTCTTTGCTTAATTTGTCTGCTTCTAAAAATTGCTGTTTGATTGAATCATAATCACTATCATAACTATCATCATCACTATCATAACTATCATCATCACTATCATTGGAGACTATAAATTTTTCCCAGTTTTTAAGTTTATTAAAAATCCCAACATTCTTAGATCTTTTTTTCATATCTGATTTAACACTACTGTCATTGGGAACTGTAATGTTTTTCCATTTTTAAGTTTAATAAAAATCCCAGGCATTGGATCTTTTTTTCATATTTAATTTAACATTACTATCATTGGCGGCTATAATATCTTCCCATTTTTCAAATTTATTAAGAATATCAACAGCCGTAGGTCTTTTATATATATCTGAATTAATACATTGTTTGGCTAATTTAATGTAACATTTTGGTGTTCCTTCATTAATTTAGGTCTCAATCCACAACAAATCTTTGCAGCTAATTCAACATCAAAATTATAACCATCGAAAGGCCTTCGTCCATTCGATATTTCTATCATAATAATCCCAAAACTGTAAATATCAGCTGCTTGAGTGAATCGTTCTCCTTCCAAGACCTCAGGAGCTATATATGGCAAAACTCCATAAATATGACCTTCTTGTTTGTCATCAAACGATATTGATAATCCTAAATCTGTAATATAAGCTTTATAATGTTCTTTTAATAAAATATTACCTGAATGTAAATCTCGATGCATAAAGTTTTTAGAATGAATATTTGATAAGTCTTGAATAATATCGCGTAATATTCTTAGTTTAATTTTCCATTCCAGTTTAAAAATTTCTTTAAGATTTTCGCCTAACGATCCAAACTTTGCATAATTTAGCACTAAAATAAAGTCACCAGTATTTTTATCCATCTAGTTGCCATAATATCTCCCAAATTCGTGATACGCCTTCAACTAAAAAATAATTTAAAATAAATAAATTACAATTAATTTAAATTAATTTATAAACGATGATATAAATTTACGTGAAAACAAAAATATCTCATTTAAAAAAAATGTTTTATTCTTATGCGAATCTTTTATTATCTTGATTGCAATTTCTTCATGAGTTTCATATGATGTTTTGTACACTACGGAAAACCCACCTCTACCTACCTCCTCAATATTTCTAAAATTATCATATTTTATCCAACGGAAATAGTTTTTATGAATATCACAGTCATGTTCAGCAATAGCAGATTTAAATACCATTCAAAAGCTAAATTTCTATTCTTTTCTACACCAATTCCTTCCTGATAACACCAACCAACTTTATGCATTCCACAGTATTCTCCATATTTAGCACTCTTTAAAAAATATTCAAAGGATTTTTGTTTATTCATCTCAACTCCACATCCATTTGGTAACAATTTCCAACATTATACATCCCACAAGCGTCGCCCATTGCTGCAGATTTTTGAAAATAAATGAATGCTTTATGTTTATCCATTTTAACTCCATACCCATTATGATAACAATATCCAACCATAACTATTCCATTAGCGTTCCCCATATTTGCAGATTTTTGATAATAAATGAATGCCTCATGTTGGTTCTTTTTAACTCCAATTTCATAAAAATAACAATTTCCAAATTCAAATAAACCAAGAGAATTACCCATATTAGCAGATTTTTGATAATAAATGAATGCCTTATGCATATTCTTTTCAACCCATTTACCATGACGATAACAAGTTGCAAGAATAAATAGAGCCATAGAATCTAATTGATAATCTAAGCAATGTTTAATAATATTATCTGGTTTTTGCATTTTTTTTACTAGAAATTGTTCTAATGCGTCAATAATTGAAAGAAAACTTTTACCTTTCATAGCTTCTTCATTATACAAATCATATATTTCTTTAATAATTTCATTAAGACAATCTTGTGACCTATCTTCTAAATACAATTGGTTAATTCATTGGATATGTTAATAATATCTAATGAATTATCGTTTTTTTTTGGCCGTTTTGCAATTGACATTTTGGCGCAACGAAAGAATATGTTGCATATGGACGCATCAAATTTATTGTGGACATGTATGTATTGCATTGCGTAATGTTCATTTATGTCTTTCGATTATCACATACGCATTTCAACGAATTATGTACGTACGTACGTAGTACTATATACGTACGTACGTACGTACG